AATTTCTTATTTGTAATTTTCAGAATTGGCTGACCAGCAAAACTTGCTGTTAAAAGAATTTGTCCAATGTCACCCATTCAAAAGAGCTAAAAAAGGAGGTTGGACTCTCACAAGGGGACAGAGTAATGAATCCTCTGTTATATTGTTGTGCCTATTGTATCTCTTAATTTAATTTCCATTAAATTAAATTCTTTTTTTTTCCTATGTACAGTAGATAAAAGTTTTATTAGACTGCAGAATGTTGTTTCATGGAAATTAACATACACATGTTTCACACAAGACATTTTGCCATGAAGTGAAGTGAAGTTGCTCAGTCGTGTCCGACTGTTTGTGACCCCATGGACTGTAGCCTACTAGGCTCCTCGGTCCATGGGATTTTCCAGGCAAGAGTACTGGAGTGGGTTGCCATTTCCTTCTCCAATAGCTATACCCCAATACAAAATAAAAAGTTAAAAAAAGAAACAAAGAGACCCAGGGTGTCTTGGTATTTTCCAATAACAAGCCACACTGTAATTTGGTAGTATTTCCTTATACTTAAATGAGATGTTAACAGTCAATTGTGAGACTAGATTTTAATAAAAGCAACATGGCTTTACTATCCAAGAGAAAGCCAGTTTTTCTCACTAGTGTGATTCAATCTCCTTTTTCAATATTTCTTCAAAAGGACAGGAATGAGTCTGAACAAAGTAGGAGGTACTGACCTGTTTACTCATTGTGAGCTGTCTTTTTCATGCTATCAGAACACTGCATGAATTGTTTCAAGCTCTACTAAGCTGTGATCCACTTAGGTAGAAGCGTCCTTCTTAGATAAGGTCTCACTGGGAGAACATTATGATGTTTTTTACCAAGTGACTCCTACCCACTTAAATACTGAGATGGTTGCTACTAGCTTATAAGAACACACAGATATACTCACCACTGGGAAGTTGTCAGCAGCTTTGCTCCAAAGAGCTTTCTCATCATTTTTCCAACTCTTCAAGAAAGTCAGGAGACTCTCCTTCACTGCTGCAGACCAGAAAGAGAGATATGTACTTGTGAAGGCTCTTGGATGAGAAAGCTTCTAAAGAAGAGCTGATGCATGGCCTAGGCAGGACAGGGTGCTCAGATAAGGGCTCTGGGGGCTAAACACCTTTGTTTCAGGTGAGTCATTACCTATGACAGGCTCTTCAGTCTTAAATGGTCTAAAAGCTTTCTTAAAGAATTATAATCTGGTGGCCAAAGAGATCCATCTTGCTTGATCTCACCCAAATAGAGTTGTCTTGTGTACTCCCCATCTAAACAAAAATAACTGGAATAAAAGAGAAAGGATCGCGTTTCCTATATATTGTGTTCCAATATTTACATACCATGGAAAGACACAGGTTTTACTGAATCCGAGAAGACAAAATAATTCATGGTTCAATTTGGTAAAATAGATAATTGAATTTGGAAGTAAAAAGGGAATTCCATGTGGTAACAAATTGCTAGCTGACTGCCCTTCACATGTTTTAAAAAGCAGCACTTTTGATAAAATCTGTTCCTAGACCCAGACCAGATGTCTTTACAGTGATCATTTTTAACTCTGGAGGCACATTAGCATCAACTGGAGAACTCAGAAGATATCTGTGTCCACAGCCACATGCCTAAGGACACTAATTTCCTGGCAATTGGTTTTGGGTTAGGGTCAGACATCAATATTTTTTATATTCTCCAGGGTAATCTAATGTTAGCTAAGGTTGAGAATTACTGCTTCAAAGGTAGAGAGAGAGATATGTCTCCATATGCAACTACTATTTTGAAAGTCAGTTATAATTTCTCATGTTAGCAAGTTCTCATTTCTTTACCTTCGCTTTCCATTTAGAATTGAGTTCAGGTATTTCTTCACAGCCATTTGTTTTCGAAGGCGTGTGTAGTTGTCAGTGAAGACAGCATCTGAGTGGCGTTTAATTGGTCCCTGGTCTTCTGAGATGCTATTGCTAAGAAACATGAGGATAAGGAAGTCAAATAATAATTTCTTGGAGCCAGATAAAAAGGAATTCCAACACCCAACTCATTTTCTATCACCAAAAAAACTGAAAGAAAAAAGCATCTAAGCCTAACAAGGGGGGAGCATGGAATAATTCAATGTACTTTGACCTTTACTAGGGTGCCTTTAGACATTCTGTCCTAACTGAGCAAATAATTTATTTAAAAAAAATTGAGGAACTAATTGAAATTGTGTTCTTCCATTGGAGGAAGGAGTTCTTTAAAAGTAAACGCTTCTTAAAAACATAAATAAATGCTTCTTCATGAAGAGATGCCAATTTAAGTAATGCCATCTAAAATTCAGTTATTAACCATTTAAAGACAAAATCTTCCAATGCTTAGTTTGAGCAGGAAGTAAAATACAAATGCTATAGTTAGCCTTAAATTTTGCTTCAGTTTAGAATATGTCTTATTTTGTTTTTACTGTGTCTAGTTTAGTTTGTTTGCCAATTTATAAATGATTATTATTTAAGAAAAATAAATGTGTCTGGAGCCTATGAATATGATATTACTAGGAAACCTTATTTTCTTAATTCACAGGTCTAGTATATTTTATTGAAGTATATAAATTATTTTATAATGAAATTAAACATTATCAAGAGTTATCAGTTTTGAATAAAATAAATAAGTTGCTTACAGTGAAGATATAATTGTCCAATTTAATAACCATAGCATGTTTTTTTAATAGTAATAAATTCTCTTTACCTAACTCGTTTTCCAATAAGGGACTCAAGGTACTTTTTGGCAGAAAGTTGACCCAAGAGTCTACTATAGTCACTGGTAAAAACTCCATCAGCATGTCTGACATTTCTGAAACAAGGAAAAAAGGATAGTCATTATTTTGTAAATAATTTGCTAAAAGATTATTTTGGCTCATTAAATAAAAAGGAAACATCAACTTATTTGATAGCTTCTCATTCAAACTTAAGTCCAAACGGAAGTTTTTAAACAACTGAATAAATAATATATTCTGGTGACTTATTTCCAGCCCCAAATTTTGAAAAATTGAAGAAATTAGCTTTTTAAGGAGCATATCTCAATATTAATGCTCCCTGGTAGAATCTGTAAAACTAATTCTTTTCTATGAAATATTGGTAGGAAGATATATTTAGTTTCTATTTATTCATGGTTTATTTCTTCTACTCTGAATAAAGATATANCTACTCTGAATAAAGATATATGCAAGGGGAAATTATTCTGATTTTAGCAAACCTTATTATCCCTTTTGCTATTTCTTCTGCCAAAAGGTTGTAAACAAAATCTCTTAAGATAGAAAGACTCTAAAAGTCTATCAACCAAATTTTCCATCCAAATGAAAAATACTTCATGCTTTGCCTTCTGGATAGAGTTACTCTGTCTATACTGGAATGTTGCTCTGGACAATATTTTATGAAATGAATGGCTTTTATTATTAGACACCCTTTCTTTACATAGAAATGAAACTCTAACCTTAGAACTTTTTCCATCATGGATTCTCAAATGCTGTAGTTTTACTACAGTTGACATAATTTCTGATGGTAAAAATTTATGAAACAGAGTATAGGTGGATGACTTGCTTAGCTTGGCCTGTTACAATCTCTCCAAGTAAAAATCACGCAAGCATCAAGAGTTTCAATAAATCAGGCTGAATGAAGCCACAACACATGGAAACTCATAGTGCAATGCTATGAGAATAGCTTCATGGTGACACAAAAATAAAATGTTTAGATTTTTAAAAAGTATTTGCTAAAATAAAACTCAATAAAAATGAACTCACCTGGATACATCATAATAAGGTGTGTCATTTTCAGCTAATGCCTCTTGTAAAATGTCAGTGTCTGCTTTTAACGAAACTTGATCAGGTTCATTTGCTCCTTCAAATGGTATTCTGTCCCCCATCCTGGTAGGAAAAGATACAGTCAAGTAAAATACATTCCTTTCTCAGAAGCTGGTGCTTACAGCTTAACTGTCATTTGAGATAAGATACTCAAAATCTTAGGAAATATCACCCACTCATAATATATGGATGGCAAAATTGAATTAATGGCTTCCATGGTTTATGAAAGTGTAAATAGTAAAATTCTTATTTATCCCATTAAACAGATGCCATACAACTTTTACAAGCTGTATGTAATAAAAGTTAGAGCTACTTAGCCTAGTTTTTCAGAACATTAAGCAAAGTACACTTCCTAGGCAATAAGTAAGTAGTTTCACTTTGCAAAGTACACAGGTAGAAAGATCTTACACAAAATAGAAACTTCGGAAATTTTTTTATATTCAATATGAAAATTGCAAGCAACTCATATATTTCTTGATGGCCAATATCATGTGTCTCAACATTTCTCAAGATTTGAATATTAACTATTTTTCTTTCTCTGAGTCCATAAATTTTACTTCAAAGGTTCACTTTGGTGTGGTGCATTTCTATGTATTGACCAAGTCCAAAGACTCTCCTCATCTCTGAATAGTCATTCAAACTCAGTGAATTTTGTTTTCAATTTTACATAGGAGCACAATTTTAATAAAGGATATACAATGCTTTACTAGAAGACTAAGAATTGTCCTGCCTCTACATGGACTATGTGGGTGCATGCACATTTTGAACCCCAGCACACTTAAAATTATGTGTGTGCATGTTTTCACTGTTACCCTATTAAGAACTGTGTTGGCTGCTGGGCACTTGTGTATCTTTGGGTGAGGCAGTTCTTGGTAGTCAGGAACAAGCAACCCTCTTTAAGAATGAAGCTTAGCAATTAATGTAAGCTCCAGCATTCTTGAGATTATTCATCTCTTTTGATATAACTATTCAGATAGACCAGTTCTATTTAATTATCAAAGCAACATACAATCTGGCTTTAAGCAAATTTCACAGAACACCACTAATAGCTAAGAGATTATTCACTCTATTGAGCATATGTCTACTTGAACAAAGAATTGGAAATGAGAAAATAAGCAAAGACATGTAAACTGGAAAGAAAAATAAAACTAATGTAGTTTCCTTTTACTGTTTCCTTCTTTAGCATAAAGTTATCTCAATTAAAGCTTTAAAGGTGAGTTGTATTATATGAATTTGAAATATGAAATGCAATGTAGAGAGCAGTAAAACTAAGGATTTATGGTAAAAACCAAGTACCTTAAAATTCACTCCTTGGGGAAGGGTGACTCAGTAGATTAATTATCTCACAATTTTTAATATTTACAAGTTGATTCTTCCTAGATAGTCTGTCCAACATGATTTTATACATATTCCACTTATCAACTGTTCATGATTATTTGCTGATTGATCTCGAAAAATGAACTCAAATCAAGTGGGCAACTAGACACCTATTTTTCTATCAGAAACTGAACTGAACTGAGGTGACAATGGAGAAGAGCTAATCACTCACCTGAAACTGGTTTGAATGAAAGGAAATCCAAGCCCCCTTTCTGCCTTGCTAGAAAAGCTGGTCCATCTTACCCATAAAACTAGTCATCAACACTGTCTCTCTGGCCCTGAGAGTGAATTCCAAAACTCAGAACAATCATGCTGCCCTGAAGTTGAAAAAACTTGCTTAACAAGTCAACCAACAGATTTGAATAACCAATACATAATTTGCAAAACTGAGCTGTCTGAAATAACATATCAGAAATTCCCATTTAGGTGGAGGAGAAATGCTCAACTGCCTGAATTGAAAGAGAGCCTACCTCAGAGCTGAAGGTGCTCCAAAAAGAGGCCACGCCAAGGTCTGGGAGAAGAGCACGCTGAACAGTGTCAGGAGCACAAGAAGCTGGGGCTTACTTCTTGTTTCCATCTCAGGACCTGGAAGGGGAGACAATCACAGCTGTCTTTTCCAGCCACAGCCGTGCCAGAAAGGTAACTCTGTGTGTTTATCAGTAATTCCTGAGGCATCACGAAGAGTTTAGAAAAAGCGATTTACATCTTACAGAAAGTCTTAAACTGCAATATGAGTATTTTTTAAATCAAGAAGGTCTTTGGGTGTGTGAACAGTGCTTGAGTAAAGATTAGGATCCTTTCAACTTCTGCCTATCTCTCACTAGGCACAAGATTGAATGCAATACTTTTATAGTACTGGAAGCAACCATAAGGGCAATTTTCTTATTATAACAGAGTTGTAACATCCATGTTTAGTATATTTTCTAACTATGAAGCAGCTTCAAGAAACTGATGTTTCTTCTTCTACTCTGTTTTTAGTACCTGAGTAATAGAAAAGTGGAGTGTCATGTATTTAATAATTTATGTATATAGGTACATATATACCAATACATAGATACATATCAGTAAAATTATGTTGTATATACATTTTTCCTCTTTTGATTATAGATTTTACTGGGAGCTTAAGCTCCTTAAGGAGTTTGGGTCTGAACAAACTGATTCAATTAACAGTGTAAATTAATACCAAAAAATCACTGAGGTTCATATTTCCACCAAAATAATTTCTGCCATAAAAGGAAAAATACATCAAAAACATCTCATTTACTTAACACATTTCATTTGTAAATAGAGTGCAGATAGAAACTTCGGAGTTTGATGTCTGTTTCTTGTGCTGTTTGTAAGACTCACAGCATTTAAACTCAGAAGGAAATAAATGTTTTGTAAGTTCACATAATTAACAAATGAAATGGAAAGAACAACACTAAGTAACAAGTTGAAACTTTCAGTACATATGTACCCACTGAACTTTCAGTTAAAAATTTATATACAAGCAAAAAAACAAAAAACCCCACTTGAAGGCATTATTTTAAAGTTGGCATTGAATAAAAAAGCAATCAGAGTGAAGCATTTTCCAACTAAAGAATTCAGAAAACCCCTTCATATGTGAGACGTTGAGGCATTTCTATACTTACCAGGTGACTTGAGAAACTTGCCTTTTTATTGTTGTAAAGAAGGAACACTGTAAAGTTATTTTTCAAGAGAAATAAAAACTCAATATATCCAGAGAAAAGTTCCAGAGTCAGGGGGAGAAAGAAAGAAGAAAGGTCAAGTTTTCACTTACTTTGCCGAGTCGTGGTCCTTGAGAGCTGTCTGTTCTGAGGCTGTGAGCGCTGTCTCAGGTGCTGAAGTCCTCGGAGTCGGTCTTCGAGTTCTCTTGCCCTCCAGCTGAACCAGAACTTGGTGCTGGCTGAGGTTGACTACTGCTGCCAGCAACTGCTTCTCACTCTACCCTGACCAGCATTTCAAGCCCATCATTTTATAGGGCTTATGCGTTGGGCTGAGCAATCACACAGCTCTCGGAAAGACGTCACACTAGTACTCTCATGGGATGAATAGGACTCGAAGTTCTTATTAAATTGTCATTATGCTTGATTTATATAAATTTAGAGTGAGTAACTTCAAGATGTAAGATATAAAGAGGAAATTTACTTTTCTTTAAACAGAAAAAGGTACTGAGCTTCATGTGAAATATTTTCATCTCTAATTAGTAGTAATGAAATAAAAGACTGATTAGTATTATGCCCAGGGCCACTGGGAATGCCTTTAGAAAATAAGAATTTTTATGTGTAGGAACAGATGCAGAAAGCAACAAATGCTTAGGCTCATGGGCTTACCAGTGTATAATTCTCCTTTATTACAAGGCATCAATTGCCCTAAAGCTTTTTTATTTTTATACTCTTCATATAGACTCTGACTTAAACTTTTCTGAGATCCGTCTTAATTGTAAAAGCACCAGAAATAACTTTCTATATTCTATTGTTACATTTTCCTTATATTGAAACTAATCCCTGGATAAATTTTCAAAAAGCCTCTAAGATAGTGTAATATGGACACTGTTGCATAGAATAGTAGCAGTACTACTGTTTCAAATTGGTAGAAAATGTCATCATTCCTAATGCATTTTCACACACATGATCTCAAATGATACAAAAAACTTAATAAATTATCATACTAGATAGCCCCAAAGGGTCATTTTTTTCTTTCTTATTAAAAGTCATACTCATGCATTTTTTAAGTTCTTGCCCCGTGTGGAATTTTATGTATCCCTGAACATAGACCAACATCCATAGCAGCTTATAACATTTCCAACTCAGTCACTTGACAGGTGATTTCAAAGAACTGGTTGGAAAGCCTTTATGGAGTACTTTGACAAGTACTTAATTTCTATTTGTGGGTTTCTAATTCAAAGTAGCCTAGCATACATTCAATCAGAGTTTAAGATTAAAAATACAGAAGCCTGAACAACTTAATGGACAGCAAAGTAAAATGCTATCCTTCCTTTTACTTAAAAAAAAAAATGGCTGGGCTATGTATTTTTATATTTTTCTTTGTAAGTTCCGGAGGGAAGGGGTAACAGCCTGAAGCCCCGTTTCCTTCTACTTTACGATTTCAATATCTATTTGCTTCATTCAAATCCAGTAAAAGAATATCCTGCTATGCTTCATCATATTTTCTAACCCAGTTACAAGAAAAATTAAATGAATTAAATTTCAAAATGTCTGGAAAT